GGCAATTCCAAATCCACTTAATCTCGTTCCCACTTACAATATTCATCTAATATTACTTTCTAAAGATTTAACACAAGAAATACAATCGGCAATATTTTACTGGCATTGGGATGAAGATATGAAGAAAGTTACTGATGGCTCCTTTAATAAATGATGATTTTACACTTTACTTACAACTTTAGAGTGCGATATCCAGATCTATGCTTAGCCTTGAAACTGTTGAAGAACTTAAGAAGGAGTTATCTCTGATACCGGAAGGTAAACTTGATGCTCGTAAGTCATGGGACAATTAATTTAAATTTAAAAAAGAATACGCTATTAATAAACGCATAACTCAAAGGCAAGTTTCATAATTTATAATTACTACTCATCTATTGTTTAACATTTTCTTGATTACCTCATTGGATTGCAGGGATTCCGATGATGAGCATTATGAGAAAAATTATATTGGAGACAGGATGATGATGATTTGACTTATGCTTCCGGCAGTAAATCTTCATACCGTCCAAAAAAAAAGGTTCAGAGAACTGCCGAAGTTATTGAACAGCGCAAAGAAAGAATGGCTCTTGAACAAGGTTATAGTAGACGATATGCAGAGTAAATTTTTATTCTGTTATGTTATTATGATGATTTGGTGTAGTGCTCGGCAAAATCGAGTTAAACTCGATTTTCGAGTTTTCGATTTCGGACAATCAAAATCTTTTTTAGCACAGTATTGAAAATAGATTTTGATTATCCGAGATAAAAAAACTCGAAAATCGAGTTTTATTCGATTTTCCAAGCACTATTATGGATGCTGATAGTAAGCTTGTGATCATTCAATCCATTCAATCGTGTATAGGAATTTGATATTTATGAAATATTCATCATAGTTGGTTCGATTCATGGAGATATTTCAAAGGCACAAATATTAAGATCACCAGATGAAAAGCAAGTTACGGTATCATTACCTCAAAAATCTAAAAAAGTTGTCAAACTACGATTACAACAAAGATCAAACAGCCTTCTCACAGTTGAGCCTTGTGTTCAAGAGAATTCATGTAATTAATTTATTCTTGGAACCTTAGTAAAGAATGAGCAGCCAATTCTTTAATGTATATACGTTATTTATTTATTTATTTAAGTGCTTCATTCAGAATCACCCAAGGTTCAAACCCTCACCAACAACTTATTACCGCTCAAAAAGCTATTTTTGAAAGGCGAATTATTTGACCAGGTATATTATAAAATAGCATAAAAATTGAATGTTCAGTTTAATAATTTCGCAATCAATATACATATTTGCGCACGTTCTTATATTTAAACGTTAATTAATTCTTGATTCATATTTATTAT